TAGGGTATCAAATAACCAAAGCGCCTTATCCAAACACCTCGTGCTGAGCCAACTATAGTCGCATGACTATGCGTTTAGATCTGGTGTCATTAGTACATGTTCTCATCCATCGCATGATGTTACTCACCAACTTGAGCGCGGCCCTATGCACGTTCCTCGTAAAGTTGAGCATAGCCTTCGCCTTGTTGTTCCCCCTCTGCAGCCGCCTGTAACCCTCCTGCACATGACTCGGCTGGACTGGCTCCCTCGCCTCCTCTGGGGGATCAAACAGACCACGCTCTCTCTTCCTCTTGAGCCTATTCTGCTCACCACCATGATTCTTCTTGTAAAGATCTTCCGCATCCTTGACCTTGAGCGCCTCCTCCGTAAGCGTCTGCACAATCTCAAACGTCAAGAAACCGAGGATATCGATAATATCGTCAGAAGGCTTGGAATCAGTAATGAGGCCGAAACCCGCCCATTCTTTGAAACGCTTGCCTTTGCGGTAGGTGAAGGATGCTTGGCGGCAGTCAGACCAGTGGACGTATTCCTCCCTCGTCATGTCCTTGGTACGTTCGTCTGCATTCTTGAGGCGTTGCAGGGTAGCGTAATTCATTTCCTCTTCCTCCTCGTCTTCGACATCGTCTTTTTGCGGGGGAAACTCAGTGAAGAAGGAATGCACGTCCCAGACTAGATCAACTTTTGCGCGCTTGGCTTTCTTCGAGGCGTCGACGGGGGCGGCGCCGGGACCACCTGCGCCTACGACGCCGGCGGCTATGTCTGCATCTCCGGCTCCGACGTCTGCGCCGCCGTCGCCGCCTTTGTCGTCCGAGTCTTTGACGGAGCGTCGCACGTCTTTCCATTGCAGGAAGTGGCGTAGGCGGGAGATTTTGGCGCGGTCGTGCCGGATCAACATGAAGAGGTCATCTGTGGATATGGATTTGCTGCCGCGGCGTGTGGCTAGGGCTGTGCATTCTCGTAGCATGTGCTGGACTTGGTCTTGGACGATTGATTCGATCAGCGTGGTTGTTTCGGGGGAGGGTTCGCCGGTTTCGCCGGAGACGAACATCATCTGTGGGATCGTTAGATTCAGGCCAACGTCGAATTGAACGTCAAACGAGAGCAAAGCTTTTGGAGATGCGGGCCGAGATATTGGGGGCAAAGAAAGCGCAGGGGAGAATGTAAAGGAGGCCATGGTGGTGGCCTCTTGCAACATGGTTGGGGGCAAGGGTGTGAGTCAAGGAAATGTATGGGTGGTACAAGTGCTGGGGGCACCTTGTGGGTGAGCTTTTTTGGGAGCTCGCTTGCATCTTTGCAAGACGGGATGGGGTGGGAGATGAGATGATTGTAGGTGAAGTAGAGTTGGGGCCATGTTGGCTGTCCGTCTGTAACGTGACTGCAAATGAACAAGAACAATAACCCATATTCGATGTATGAACATTGAATTAATGTGGGAAGGAATTTCCAAAGTCTTCAAACGACTTAATCGAAAGGTGAAATTGTGTTGATGCTTGGGTAGGCGCAGGGAAGGATGTGAAGGTCGATAATGTTATAGGCAGCGCAGTTCAACCCAAACTTTCAGAAGTCCATCTCTTTCTTGTTTGGAGTGTTAAAGAAAAGTCATGAGAAGACCACAAGAAGAAGATGCAATTGACTAACCTGTTGGATCTCCGTCCGATACTTGGCCATCTTATCCTTGTCCGACATGGTGCCTTACTCCGTCGCCCAAAGGCTCCTATAATCATACAAAGCGCGTCGCCAACTTCTAACAGCTATACAGAACAGAGAGTCGAACACAAGAGGCGTGGGGCGCGGCGAGGAATGTGAATGGAGTCCGGGGATGGGACGCGGTTTGCGGTCTACTAGCGCGATTTCAGACGATGCCTGATGCGACAGCACGGGTTGGCCCGGGCACGCTCAGCCCTACCACATGCAAATCATCAGCCCCGCCTAACTTTTTGTCAATTTGGCGACCAACCCCACCACAACTTTCACCCCACGCGTCACCACTGCCCATTATGCTGTATCTCGTGGGTCTCGGCTTGGCGGACGAGAAGGACATCACTGTCAAGGGTCTGGACATTGTGAAGAAGGCGGAGCGCGTCTACCTCGAGGCGTACACGGCGGTGCTGCTGGTGGAGAAGGATGTGCTTGTGAGTCGAATATGCGACTGATGGGCGAGGCACTGGGAAACTAATTATCACGGCAGTAGGAAGCTTTCTATGGCCGCGAAGTCATCATAGCCGACCGCGAAATGGTCGAGTCGTCCAGCGACGATATCCTCAAAGATGCTGATAAAGTCGACGTCGCATTCCTTGTCGTAGGCGATCCATTCGGGTATGTTCCTCTACGAATACATACTACGCCTATCTAACACCCAACAGAGCGACCACACACACCGACCTCGTCCTCCGCGCCCGCGAACTCTCTATCCCCACCCGCTCCATCCCCAACGCCAGCATCCTGACCTCGATTGGCACGACCGGTCTGCAACTCTACAACTTTGGGCAAACAGTCTCCATGGTCTTCTTCCTTGACAACTGGAAGCCTGCCTCCTTCTACGACCGCATCAAGGAGAACGTCTCCATCGGCCTACACACGCTCGTCCTCCTCGACATCAAGGTCAAGGAGCAGAGTCTGGAGAACATGGCGCGCGGACGCAAGATCTACGAGCCGCCGCGATACATGACTGTTGCACAGTGCGCGCAGCAGATGCTGGAGATTGAGGAGGATGTCAAGCAGGAGGGTGCTTACACCAAGGAGAGCCTGGCTGTGGGTGTTGCGCGCGTTGGTGCGGAGGATGAGAAAATTGTTGCTGGAACATTGGCACAGCTGTGTGAGGCGGATCTGGGGAAGCCGCTGCACAGTCTGGTGATACTGGGTCGGCGGACACACGACCTTGAAAGGGATTTCCTCGAGGAGTTCGCCGTGGACAAGGAGAAGTTCAGGGAGGTTTGGAACAGAGACTATGGGGGCAAGCAATGAGTTGGCATGTAGCAGCACGCGAAATCGCTTAGATGCGGCTCTTGTTCTGATGAATCACCAAAATCCAATGTCAATATGCCATACTGAGACTGACAGACGAAGCTGGGCATTGCGTGCGTAGCCATAGTTGCCTCTACTCGATCCTGCATTCTGTCCATGTCTGCGCTGTTCGCTCGCGAATGCTGACCACATTTCGTATACATGTGTTATCCTGTTTCTTTTCCGTCGTTCCAGTTCTCCATGTATTCGACATGGTATCGTCCTTGCATCTATATCCCATTTTCGAAGACTTTCTTCATCGTTGCGATGCACTTTTCCAACTCCTGCTCTTGTAACGGGTGAAGGGCCAAGCAGAGCCTGAACCGATGCTCCGGAAATGGCTCGTGTGAAGGGAACATTTTGATACTTTCAGACCACTTCCAGTCTCCTTGTATGACTATTTTTGGGTCTACATGCGCGAGCGCCGTTGTTCTTAATAGTATGTTCCGCCACCATCCAACATCGCTCATCTTACTGATGAGAGTCCTATCTTTACGGGCATGAACCGCAAGTGCCACGATCTTGCGTATGATCCAACAGCTACAAGTGTGTATACTTTTCTTCTCCATAAGCGAAGGCCAGATCATCCGGATGGTAAAGGCGTAATATTCTTCGCAGATACGAGCGATCAAACGCCAACTCTTGTCTGCAATGAACTGTCGTACAAGGAGGGGACGGTGTTCCCATACGGTGATCTCTCGGAGATAACTATGCAGGGCCATGGGAACTTTTTCGAGGAAGTTCAGTAGGTGAAGTGGACCGCATGGGAACACTATATCATTGCGACATATAACGATGTTTTTCGTCTCTTCCTTCAGTTGCCGGCAAACATGTTTAAGCTGGTTGACCTCCCTGGCGGTCTCGAGGCTGTTGTCGAGCTGTTTTGCATACCAATCTTGCTCGCGTTCCTTTTTGGAAGGTCTCTTTTCCATGACAGGGACCGCGTAGAAGCGGAATATTCCGGAGTTGCTGGATGGTTCTTCGCGACATACCACACCTCTCGGGTTCGTGAGAGTGTATTCGTAGACTATATTTCTGAGCTCAGCAGGGAGTTGGAAGAAATGGCAAGTGCCATCCGGGGAGGGTTGGCTTGGATCCATGATGTCTTTGCGGCGGTTCGGAGTGGCGGGGTTTTGATTGCGTTGGGTCGAGAAGTCGATCTTTAGGGACGTGGGGATATTGAGATAGTAGATGGTAGATAGTAGATGGTAGATAGTAGATAGTAGATGGTAGATAGTAGATGGTAGATAGTAGATGGTGCGATGTCTTTGGACGAGTGTACTGTATTTTTATATCGCCCTGCACATTACCAATATGGTTGAGTGGCCGTCCTTCGGTTGCCGTCTATTGGTACCTTACTGCGTTAGTGGATCCAGATAGGGATGAACCACCCACAACTTCTGCATTTTAAATGTTATCTGTCAGAGAATAGATCTTTGGGTCAGAAAATCTGCTCCTTTCCAACAACAGACAGTGGTGATCTTTCATTTATGTTCCCTTGCAATGCTGATTGCGGAACGAATGTAGCCATAAGTACATCGTACAAGACGTCGCCCGTCGAAATGCACCGGTGGTGTCCTGTTCAGGTGTGATGCCTAGATTTTGGGGGACGAAATAATAGTTGGAGAGTTCGGATAGTATTAGTAGGCTAGAATGTTGATCGCAGCGCTACTGCAGCTCTTCGCCTAATACTAAGCGACATCCATGGATAGAGGTTTAGAAGTGTCTCTCCACGAACATCTTTTGGACACTGCGTGATGTGACGTGCGAGATTGATGCAGTTGGTAGCTGCCTGGGCATTTGCCTGGGTGGAGGTAGAAGTTGCGAGGTCAAGCCCTTGAGAGGTAAGTGCGTCTGACGTCACACCACAGTCATTCATTGGCCGAGGCAACCACAAAGCATCACGATGATCTGTACAGCCTGATCGGCCCGCTTCTATTCTTCCGCTTGCAGCAGTCTCTACAAAGATTCAACCATTCAGGACTAGCGCACTGACGATGTCCAAACCTACCGACGCCATAGAAGATTCCGGCTCGCCCGGTAAGCGGCTTCTTCAGGATGTCATCAATACGCCCTCCACTCGCACGCCTTTACCTTTGGATAGAAATAGCGGTACTGAACTGTATCGACAACACAGTCGCAAGGAAGAGAACATGCAAAATCCAAAGATGAAGAGGGTCGCATCAAGACCGCAGACCTCCAGCTCAAGACGCTCGGCAAACGGCTACATGCCCATAGAAGACTATGGGCTGATTGGAAATATGAGAACATGCGCCATGGTCGCAACAGACGGAGGAATCGGTATGTAAATTCTGTGCAACGCATGTCAAACACATACTGACTTTGTACGCCTACTTCAGATTACATGTGTTGGCCCTACTTCGACTCCCCGTCTGTCTTCTGTCGCATTCTGGACAAGGAAAAGGGCGGGCACTTCAGCATAGGGCCCACTGGCGACGATACATGTACGACTAAACAGCAGTATCTACCTGCGAGCAATATCCTCCAAACACGCTACCTAAAGGAGGAGGGTGTCATGAACGTCGTGGACTTCTTCCCTAGACCGAATGACAAGAACTGGGATGAAAAGTATCATGCGAACGTACTCGCGAGCAACCATACAGGAAGCGTACCAGAACGTCCCGATCTGAAGAAGTGGCTAGTCAGGCGGGTAGAATGTATGCGGGGCAAAGTTGACGTGTGCGTCGAGGTCTTCCCTGCTTTCAACTACGCGCAGGACAAGCATACTACCGAGATTGTCGACATGGGCAAGACTGGCCAAGGGCATTGTCTGCAACGTGTCACCTTCAAATCAAAAGACCTCTCCTTGGAGCTCAACGCAACGATCGATTGTGGGGATGAACCCGACGGCGTTTGCCCAAGAGTGGTTTTCGAGAAGTCACCGGAGCCACAAGACCTGGGCGATGGTGTCACGGCCGCTTTCACTTTAAACGAAGGTCAGGCCGTATCCTTCATACTGCGCGACGCGGAAGACCACAGCCCAGACGTAATTGAGACTGAACAAGTTCAAGACCTGCAGACCAACACCCAAATGTACTGGGCCAGGTGGATAGAGCAGAGCAAGTATAAAGGCCGATGGGAAGAGGTGGTTACGCGGAGTCTGCTGATTCTCAAGATGCTGACCTTCGAGCCAAGCGGAGCAATCGTTGCTGCACCGACTTTCTCTCTGCCCGAGGATTTTGGTGGATCGCGAAACTGGGACTACCGCTACTCCTGGGTGCGCGATGCGTCGTTCACCATCTACACCTTTCTTCGGATGGGTATCAGCCATGAAGCTGAAGCCTACATAAGCTACATCTTCCAACGTGTCAAAGAGGCCAAAGCGCGGCAGGGAGCTTTGCCAATCATGATGACCATCTGGGGCGGCACAGACATACCAGAGCTCGAACTACCCCACTTGGAGGGATACAGGGCTAGCCAACCGGTCCGGATCGGCAATGGCGCGGCTTTCCATGTACAGCTTGACATTTACGGGGAGTTGATGGATGGCATCTACCTCGTTAATAGGTTCTCGCGTCCCATCTCATATGATCAGTGGCTCCTTGTCCGAGAGATCGCGGACTACGTATGTACTGTCTGGAAAGAGCCAGACATGTCGATCTGGGAAGTCCGCGGCAAGAAGCAGAACTTTGTATACAGCAAGATGATGCTGTGGGTAGCCCTGGATCGGGCATTGCGCCTGGCAGACAAGAGGAGCTTCCCATGTCCGCATCGAGCCGAGTGGTACAGGGTCCGCGATGAGATCTACGAGGAAGTCATGGAGAAGGGCTACAACACCGACTTGGAGTGCTTCATCCAGAGCTACGAGTCGAATGATATCCTGGATTCGGCGGTCTTGATTGCGCCTCTGGTCTTCTTCATATCTCCGACTGATCCGCGCTTCCTCAAGACTCTCGACCGCATACTCATGGCTCCTGAGAAGGGCGGGCTGACGAGTACCGGTTTGGTGTACAGGTACAATCACGCCGTGAGCGACGATGGCGTGGGTGGGCAAGAAGGCGCTTTTAGCATGTGCACTTTTTGGCTCGTCGAGGCGTTGACAAGGGTAAGCGGTCTGCGTTGCAACACAAAGTTTTGCTTTTTACTGACATCACAGGCTGGCGCGTACAACGAGAAGTACCTGTTACAGGCGGTAACTATCTTCGAAAACATGCTAAGTTTCGGAAATCATTTGCACATCTTCTCGGAGGAGATTGCGCGTTCGGGGGAGCAGTTGGGCAACACACCACAGGCGTTCAGCCATCTGGCGGTGATCTCAGCGGCATTCAACCTGGACAAGACGTTGACTTTGCGACGCAAGTAGAGTGGCATGGAGGGTGGTAGCGATAGATGGCAATGCAAACCAGACGCTGAAACGTGCATGCATGTTCTAGATGGGCACGCTAATCTAACGCACAGGGACGATCAGCAGCTAGCACGTCATGGCTTGCATCGTTCCACAGCCGGAAATCGATCTAATGTCGCTAGCTGGAGGATGCCGTACTCTTGGAAGGAATGTGTGGCGCCGGCTACCAACCGCCCCTGGCGCACTGACTGGGCAATCTCCCAGGCTGAGCCGCGCAACTTTCAAGGCTTTCCTGCCCTTTGCACCTGGCACCTCTGGACAACGCACCCCAACCCATCGCCAGCGGGCCATGACATAGCACCCCCATAATATCTTCCTTCACTCTCTATAATTCTACATTCGCTCTCTTGTCGGCCTCTTTTTCGCGTCGTCCACGTACCACACCCGTGCCGTCATCATCAACTGCCCACCACCTACGCGTCGCAATCCGCACTTCACTCTCACCACCCGCCATCATGTCGCTTTCATCCACCTCCTCCGCTTCCTCCTCCTACAGCGTAACGAACCTTTCCGTTATTGATGAAAAGCTCGAGATGCCACCTCCGCCCACAGAACTCCTCGTCAGAGACTTCGGTTGGCCATCGGTCTCTCCGCGCTACCACGGCGACCACACGCAAGAAAGCAACCCCGACTGGGAACACGACCCGCTTGATTGCGAAAAGGCCAAGGCAGAGGCCTTTGAGAAGATGGAGCGAAGCTACGCCCTCTACATGGCCAATCTTGAAAAGAAGCCGCCCGTGCAGAAGAAGAAGAACACCTGGGCTCGCTTCCTACCCTGGGTGCGTGTCTAACGCACTCTATCGACTGCCCGTCGCCTACACAACAATGGCCCAGCATGACCATTGAAGGCTTCGCGGAGAGGCGCGGTTGCTGCGACATGATCCTCGCAGCGCCCATCCACGACGTCGCCTCAAAAAATTGGATACGCACCTGCCCGCCACAAACAAATTTCAGAAGATACCCATTGTTACGAAAGAAAAAGAGATACAACATCGATACCACCGGATTGGGGGCAGGAAGGAGGCAATGCCGGTGCACACCCCGGCCCACGCATGATTCGGAGGCAGCTCGGAGTCTAGATCCGGCCTGCCGAGCCATGAGTGACGGGGGAAGGTGCGGGGCTGTCTTCCACCTTGCGCCCTACACTGGAAGCAATCTTTGATACGCGTTTTCTTGTTCCCTTTGTTGCCCAAAAGCCTTGCGCTTCGCTCTACGATCTCGTTAGCATATACCCTTTTTTGTATACCCAGTTTAGATTTTTTATTTGTTACGCCCGGGCGAGATAATACTACTAATACATCAACGATTTTTCTTCACACTCCTGGTTCATGGTGCATCTCGTCTCGGGGTTTGTATTGCGCCGCGGGGTTATAATCACCTCGACTATCGGGAATGATCACCCTCACTCCACTGTCATGCAGCGGTAGACCATTCCCGACCGTTGCACGCGGTAGATATATCTACATGGCTCCACTACACGACGTGTCGGAAATTTTTCTTAATCTATCCTCCGTCGCCATTGCCTGGTTTGCCTTCGCTCTTTCCCCTTTAGCATTGACGCGCAGGTGACACTCACGCTCCCGTCACACAAGCCCACTCGAAACATACCCAGCATACTCCATACCTGAACTACATCCATCATGGGTTCAATGCCAGAGAAGAAGACCATGCGTGCGCAACAGTACGATGCGCGAGATAACAAGCTCCACCTCAACGAAATACCCATCCCGACACCGCGCGAACATGAAATCTTGGTCAAAATGGGCAGCGCATCCCTATGCCACACTGATGCCATGCTCTTCGAGCCCAACGACCAAGGTCTGATTCTCGGCAAGAACCCTGTCACTATCGGTCACGAAGGAACCGGCAGAGTAGTATCAACTGGCTCAGGAGACCTAGCCAGAACATTCAAAGAAGGTGACCCGGTCGGCTTCCTCTGCGCAGTCGACTGCTGCTTCCAGTGCTACGCCTGCAAGAACGTACACAACGCGTGGTGCGCAACGGGCGAAACCAAAATCCAAGGGTTCAGCGCCGACGGCTATTTCGCCGAATACGCAGTCGTAGACGCTAGGGAAGCCATCATTCTTCCTGAGAACCGTCAGTTACATATGCTTGTAATCAAGACACTAACGACAAGCTAACTTTCCACCAACAGTCGATCCCAAGGCCTCAGCTCCCCTCTTCTGCGCAGGTGTAACAGCCTACCACGGTATCGCCGACTGCCAACTACCCGCCGGCTCCTGGCTCGCCGTAATCGGGTGCGGCGGCCTAGGCCACATGGGCATCCAGTACGCGAAAGCCATGGGCCACAATGTCATCGCCATCGACATCACCGACGACGCGATAGAAGAAGCGCGCATCTGCGGCGCGGACTACACGTTCAACTCCATGGCCGACAAGGACTGGAAGAAGAAGATCGTAGAGCTTACAAAAGGTGGTGTTCATGCTGCTGTAAACTTCACGGCGAGCAAGAAGAGTTACGATGATTGTCCCGCGATTGTCAAGGCGGGGCAGGGGATTATTATGGTGGTGGGGATTCCGCAGCAGCCGTTGGAGTTTAATGGGTTGGATATTGCGTTGGGGAGGTATCAGGTTAAGGGGTCGAGTAATGGGAGTAAGTTTGCTTTTCCGTTTGTGTGAATGATGGAGTGGAGTGGAGATACTAACCATTGCGTGCAGCTTGCTACAATATGAGGGAGGCAGTCGAGTTCTCGGCGAAGCATAACATCACGCCGCATATGACGACGTTCAAGCTGGAGGAGGTGCCGAAGATGGTGGAGTTGATGAACGCGCATAAGGCCAAGGGACGGATGGGCGTGGTGTTCGATTGAAGATGTTGACCGTATGAGTGAAAGCAGCAAAATCTACCAAATTACACGCGATGTGAGGTGGTAGTCTTCCCCCGGTATACGCTCTGCTCATCTAAGGCTACCAAAGCAAATCCATGGCGGTCCAGAACCGGTTTTTGAAGGCTCTGACCGCACACCTTCGACTATAAAATCTTCGGTTATTGCAGCTCTCTCCTCTCCTCAACTCCACACTTCTTCCTCAAATATTACAAAAATCTAGGCCGACCACCTATGTCTGGCCTTTCTCTCCCTTCTTTTTTACAAAAACCCAACCCAGCTACTTTACGTCTGCTTCAAAACACCAACTTCACTTCACATGTTCCTGAGTTTGGAGTGTTGCGATTACAAGCCACTGTCTCATTATCTCATGTTGAAGTCTGCACGAAAGCAAAAACTTTATAGGCAGACACCCTATGTGCTGCTCTTCTTCGGTGCGTGAGCTTCACACGCCAAAATCAACCAACTGGTTTGGCAAATGAACCTGAGCAGGACTAAAAAGTCATGTACGAAGGATCCGTGTTTGCGCGAAAGAGAGACATCCTACATGTTTATGGAAAGACCACTGTCAGTCTTCTAGCTGGAAGAACACAAGCGAAGAGTGGATGTGTCCAAAAGACACTGTCGAGATCATCATGTCTGGTCTCCTTTCCGCTCTGTAGTCGCCGAGGAGGACTATAAAACAGCTGTTGCACTTGATCCTCTACTTGTCATCTGCAACAACGATTACCAAAAGTTATATCCAAATTCCATTTTCTATTGCGACATGTGCTGGATTTGCTCTTCTTCTCAAACCAGTCTCGTTGTCCCTTAAACAATAGTCTCCAACTCCCTCGCATACCCCAGCGTATTCTCAATAACCTGATCGCTCGTAACCAAAATATCCCTGTTCAAATACTCATCCTCCTGCTGAGGGAAGTATATCCTGCCGTCCTTGACAACCCAACCGCTCTCCTTTGCAAAGTTGACGACGCTGCCTTCCGAGTCGAGGAAGAGGAGGGATTTGGCGTCGGAGATGGGGATGGAGGGGTATGCGCGCTCGGAGCAGGAAGCGATTTCCTTGCGGATGGTTCCGATGAGAATCTAGGACGTGTTAGCAGATAGTCCGGTTTAAATTATGAAGGATATGGTGTGTTTGGCGGTAACTACAATAATGACGTACCTCAGTAAACAACGCAAACTCCTCGCCAGGCACCCTCTCGCTCTTCGTCTCAACCCACACCTTATCGTAGCTCCCCTCCATAAGCGCCTGCTCTAGACGAATCGGATACTGGATAAACGGATCAGCCTCTAGCTTCGCGCTCGCCTGGGCGGCCGCCACCTCGAGCGTCTCGAGCAGCGTGTGGAAGCCCGCGTAGTCGCCCTCGCTCAGCAGCAGCAACAGGTACAGTCCCGTGACCTTGCTCGATTGGCTGCCGTCTTTGGGTAGTGTGGACTCTGGCAAAGAGTAGAAGGGCTGCAGCTGCTGGAAGTAGCGGGTAAAGGACTCGGTGTCTTTGAGGCGGATGGAGATGATGGCGCCGAGTTCGAGCGTCTCACGCGCGAGCTGCAGGTGTTTCCGCGGGGACTTCTCTTGTGGGATCAGGGCGTTGAGGTTGAGGAGGGCGATCTTGGCTTTGCTCAGTAATGAGGTGGATTGCTGGTAGTTGTGCGACTTGAGCGTCTGGTGGAGCTGCTGGAGCACACTAGAGAGTTCCTTTTCGGCCATGGTGTGCGGTGTCTCGCTTTTGGTGGTGGTTGTAGATGATGGGGAGGGTGAGCGCGGGGATTGGGCGGGTTGATGGCGTGGTCGGGTTGGGGTGTTTGTTGCGGCGAGTGGAAGCTTCGGTGGTTTACGTCGGGGGACCGTCGGCGTCGGAGGTGCTGGCCTTAGCGTGGGCTGCGTGCTCACCGACCGCCACGGCGCGTCATAACCTTCAAATGTACGATATCGAATATATGCCATGGTTTTCACCTGTTGTCAAACATACTGAACATATTGATGAGCGCAAAGAGTACGATTTGAACACTTTTCAAGATATAAGCCTGACATCCCACGCGTGCCAGGCACCAACCCATGCAGATGACCTAGCCGGTCACATTGTCCCAGCGTGGGAATATCACTATTGGCAG